TTACCCAGGCTGGAGTGCAATGGCGTGATGTGGGCTCACTGCAACCTCCACCTCCTGGGTTCAAGCAATTCTCGTGCCTCAGCCTCCCGAGTTGCTGGGATTACAGGTGCATGCCACCATGCCCAGCTAATTTTTGTATTTTTGGTAGAGATGGGGTTTCACCATGTTGACCAGGCTGGTCTCGAACTTCTGACTTCAGGTGATCCGACCGCTTCAGCCTCTCAAAGTGCTGGGAATACAGGTGTGAACCACCACCATCAGCCAAAATTCTAATTAGATATCTTATTCTTATACTTTTCAATCAAAACTTGAAAAAATAATTCATGTTAAGGGGATTTGGAGTCCAACTGTTTGGGAGGTCCTTAATGGACTAATTTATAAAAACCATAAATAACAGATTCTGATGGGGGAAGTCTACGTTTGATCCTTAAACTCTCTCACTTGAGAAATAAACAGTGGCTTGACAGTGGATGAAAGAAGAAGAAAACTTGAGTAGGAAACTCTGATACTACTGTTGATAAACGGTGGTTTCAGACAAAGCTGAAGCAAACCTGGAGCTGTGGGAAGTGGTAGATGAAGAATGTACATCAGGTTAACAGGAGAAAAGCAGTTAAAATCCATCTTTGATAGCATAAGGAAATAAAAATATAGCAACAAAGGTTTGTTGTTTTGTTTTTTTGGAGACGGAGTCTTGCTCTTTTGTCAGGCTGGAGTGCAGTGGCATGATCTCGGCTCACTGCAACCTCCATCTCCCGGATTCAAGCAATTCCCCTGCCTTAGCCTCCAGGGTATCTGGGACTACAGGCATGCACCACCATGCCCGGCTAATTTTTTGTATTTTAGTAGAGATGGGATTTCACCAGGGCCAGGATGGTCTCGATCTCCTGACGTCGTGATCCAGTCACCCAGGCCCCCCCAAAGTGCTGGGATTACAGGCGGCGTGAGCCACCGCGCCTGGCCGCAACAAGGGTTTTTAATAAAGCTGTTATGTTTGGTTTTAGGTTGAATATACTTTCCAAACGTAGCATCTAGTAAATTTTAACGATGGAATAGGCAAAAGAATCCTTGAAGCCTAAATTATAATGGATTTATTAGTCAAATAAACCAGATCATTATAAAATAAAACGTTATCTTTTGGTTTGAAAAAATAAAGACTAATATTTAATTTATAGATATCCTAACCTCTGAGGCAATATAAAAATAAATTAATATTTAGCTATGCTCTCTAGCATGTATCACAAGTATGTCTTGACAAGTGAAGTGACTGTTTCAGAGTTTCTTAGGTAGAATGCTCGAATGCCTTAATTATTGAAGTCATCCCACAAATAGTTACGGCATTCCTACCACATTCTAGGTCCTGTGTTAGGACATGGGATACAAAGATAAGATACAGTTATTGTTGCCAAGGACACAGTCTAACGGGCTCCAAAATAATATGGTAAGTGCTGTAAAAAATATTTACAGGAAACTAATTGGGGATGGAACCCAAAGCATCATATGAGGAGAAAGAAGGCTTCCTGGAATGGGAGGTATCTGAGCTCATTCTAAATCACTGCACCCAAATTCCCAACTTGTAAGAACAAGTGAGCAAAAAGTTGTCCTGTTTTTTGTTTGTTTTTGAGACATGGTCACATTATGTTGCCCAGGAGGGTCTCAAACTCCTGGGTTCAAGAGATCCTCCCACGTTAGCCTCTCGAGTAGCTGTGTAAACAGGTGCACACCACCACACCCGAATCCATTTATTTATATAAGATAAATAATCAGAAGAATAAGCCTAATAAAACACTTTGGATTCCTAAACTTACTTTTTTAGCATATGTATCTGAAAATTTTAAATTGTTAGTAGATATGAATAATACATTTAAGAAATATAAATAATATGTATGAATACAACACTCAAGACTTTCCTACATTGAGTAAGTAAAATGCTAGTGGATTTTTACTTTCTTCATCACACATGCAACTCATTATAGCCACCAACAGCATATACTTAACCCCTTCTCTTGGTAGGATTACTGGAAACTAAATGAAACGTGAAGTTTAGTACAGGGCCTGGGACACAGAGTTCAATAAGTGATCATCTCCCTCTCCAGTCCAAGGTGAGTCTTATACACCCTTTTATTACAGTGCCTTTGCAATCAGTGATGCTCCATAAATATTTAAACTATACACTGACCCCACAGTTAATTACCAGTACCTATCAAAGAAATGCTTAACATCTTCTCTCTTTCCCCAATTTCCTCAGTCCCCACCCTATTTATTCTTAGTAATACCTTGCGACAAAACTCTGTAGGGATAAATTCCTAAAACAAGAGTATCACATTTGAGTTATATTTTTAAAAAATCACATAAGCATTATTCATAAAACAGTTATTGGAAGCTTCTGCCAGTCCAACTGCAAATAGAAGTATCGAGACTTTAATATCTGTGGAAAAACAAATCACTGAAGTATTGACATTACATACAAACTCAACTTCCACAGTAAGGATAAGGCAGTAAGTGCAGATAGAGTACACGGACAACAGATGGCAGCACTTGAACATCAACCTCTGATGATAAGCCCTCCTTTTCACATCCATGTTTTGCTGACTTGCAGATTTGCATAACCGCAATCAAGGCGGGCAAAAGATATGTCTACGTACTATGGTAATGAGAAGAGACAACATGACATGAAACTCGTCTGAGACACAGAAGATATGACTTGTTGAAGTTGTAAGGGTTGTAACAGATACTAAACTGGGTTCTGCAATCTTGAATGGTACCCACAAACCATTGGAGCACTGGAAACATAAACACTTAAAATGTCACTCAGCTGCACCCACACAATGTAGCTGGAAGTTGATTTTTTTGAAAGAAATTAAATTTACATTCAAGTGTGGTTCATATAAATTAGTTATAAATAATAGAAAATGAGTTATTATAATTTTTTGGTAATATTTCTTTATGTTAATAGATTTGTGTGTGGTTTCTAACTATGAAGAAATTAAAAAGAACTTTTGGAACTGACTTGCCAAATTATACTGGTAACTTATTCAAGAAGAAATAGATTCATTCTTTTGTATTCCATGGTCAACAGCAATAACTTAGAAGAAAGACACCTAGATTGATATACTACCTCAATCACTTTCTAGCTTTTGACCCTACAAAGACACTTAAGCTATCTGTGACTTTATCTGTTAAAAAGTGATTGATGGGTGTGGTGCCTCCCACCTCTCATCCCAGCACTTTAAAAGGCCTAAGAAGGACTGCCTGAGCCCAAGAGTTCCAGACCAGCCTGGTCAACAAAGTGTGGTTGCAGTGAGCCATGATTCTGTCACTGCACTCCAGTGTGGACAACAGAGTGAGATCCTGTCTCAACAACAACAATAAAATACGTGATCATACCTACCTTACAGGATTTTGTAAGGATCAAAGAAGTAAAGCAAATAGCACAATCACTAACACATAGTAAGGACTCAATAATTGAAAGCTATTATAATTGTGGTTCCATGTATTCTCCCCCTGCCCTGGTAACTTTAAATTATTTACTTCAAGTTCCTGAAAATGCATTGCTACTGTATCATGTGTAGCGAAAGTGGCTGGGAGCTTAATAGCTGTAACAATGATGTATTTGCAAATACTGCAGATGAAAATAAAGTTAATTTTGGAAGGGAATGGGAAAAGATGCAAATTTTAGTTTTACATTATTTATTGTGTACTAAAACCTGTGTGAAGGTCCCTACTTAAGTGTAAGGTCAGGATCTTGTGATTCGTTTTGATTAGTTAAGTTTGCTCAAGCCAAAGGACTTTATTGCTTCATACTAACCAGTCTGCCCTGCAGTATGATTTCTTGCTCCTCAGTGGCCTTGCATTGGCGAAGCGGCACACAGTGCAGGGTTTGGGGTGATTAACTGGAAGGGGTCTGTCCCAAGAACAGGTAACAGCAGACTGTACTCAGCCAGCAAAATATCCCTCTAGGCAATACAGGAGAGAGTTTCCACCAGCCTTCTCTAATCACACAGGTTTCTCTTTCCCTTTCCAGGGCTGTCTATCCTTGAAGTGGAAGTAGGCAGAATGTAAAGAGAGGAGTTGCTGAACACTTTCAAAGGCACTGAAGAATTCAAGTTAAGGTTATAGTTGAGAGTAGCCTCACTAGCCTATCCGAGCTTGAGTAAAGGTCATGTCTCACTCATTTTTATGTCTTCAATGTCTCAACAGAGCTCTGCATTCAATATATACATAAATATATGAATTCACAATTTTGATTTTCTGAAATGTCACTTGTGGGGACACTATACCCGTTTTCAAATAAATACACCTTTTAAAGTATCCCATGTTTTTACTGTACCTTGTCTATTGTTTAGATGTGATTAGACATACAAATATTTACCACTGTGTTATAATTGCCTACCGTATTGAGAATGGCAACATGCTGCACAGGTTTGTAGCCTGAGTGCAATAGGCTACATCATATAGCCTTGATGTGTCGTAAGCTATACTATCTAGGTTTGTGTTTAAATACACTCTAGTATGTTCCCTAAGGGATGAAATAACCTAAGGACGCATTAGTAAGAACATAGCCCCATCTTAAGTGAAACATTACCGTAGTTGCTTTTGAAATGTGTGGCCTATGGTGTATTAAGAGGACTACCGTGTGCCAAGAAGTGACGCTAAGCATTTTACCTTACAACTGAGTTAAGTAAAATTTGGAAACTTGGTTTCGAGGTTAACTAATACATGTAAGGTGACACAGCTATTATGTGACTTGAGTGTCAGCCTTGAAGCCAGGTCCACCCGGCTCTTAATTACAAGACAAAAAGTCTTCCATTAATTCGCAAAATCTGGTCAGTAGCTTCAATACGCAGCTTTAGGCAATCCACACCTAGAATTTGGGGTCCGGTTTGCCAAGAACAGCCAGAGTGTACAACCACTCCTTCCTAACCTGAAACTGGAATCTAAAAGGTAAAACGTGGTTATTGCGCATGCTCACACCGCCTTTCCTCCCTCTTCCCCTCCCTAACTGTGGACGCCAGCGCAGCAGACTTTCTGGGAAGACTTTGGAACGGCTCCCGCCAACTGTTAAGTCAAACCGGCGGAAATCCTTCCTTTCTGCGACGTGGACACTTTTCTCATCCTCGGGCCTTTCCAACCAGGATGCAGAAACCACGCGCCTCCGTTTCTCAGGGATTCAAGCAGTACTTTGCCAGTTGTCAATATGGCCGCTGACAGGGCGGTCCCAAGCTGAGGCCTTTCATAGGCCAAGGTTGCTTCCTGGCCCCGCCCATTTTGTCCCTCCTGACTGCGTCCGCTCAGCTCTTCGCTACGCATGCGCAGCGGGGGCGGGCTGGGAGGTGGGAGGGTCCAAGGTTTCCGTGTGTTGCCGCCGCTGCCGCCTCAGGCTCGTCCTCGTTACTCTTGCGGTTCTGGGGTTCTGTAGCTGGCGTTACCAGCGCGAGGTGAAGGGAGGTGACGGAGCGTGAGTGCGCGCGTGGGGGTCCCGTCAGTCCCAGCAGTTCCCCTCGTGCAGGGTGGGCGGCGAGGGTCTTCAGCAGTCGGGAGAGGCCCTTGACGGCGCCATGTCGGCGGGCGGCCCATGCCCAGCAGCAGCCGGAGGGGGCCCAGGGGGCGCCTCCTGCTCCGTGGGTGTCTCCCCCGGCGGGGTATCCATGTTCCGGTGGCTGGAGGTGCTGGAGAAGGAATTCGACAAGGCATTTGTGGATGTGGATCTGCTCCTGGGCGAGATCGATCCCGACCAGGCGGACATTACTTATGAGGGGCGGCAGAAGATGACCAGCCTGAGCTCCTGCTTTGCACAGCTTTGCCACAAAGCCCAGACTGTGTCTCAAATCAACCACAAGCTGGAGGTGAGCCGTGGGCGCTGGCAGCTGTGGCATCCAACCTCAGGCTGCCCGGTGGCGTCAGATCCCATTTAATGCACCAGTGAAACTACACTAGAAAACTGCCCACCGGGGCTTCAAATGTAATAGGAGAGTGCATGTCTATGTGTGGGGAGGAAAGGAGTGAGGTGAGGGTGGGCGACAAAAAGGTCCCTAGATTGACTTGTGTGTCTCCCCGGGGTACAGTCATTCAACTTCCTAGTATCTCTCTGAGAAGGAAACTAATTACATTAGCCTCCCATGTACGTGCTGCATTAACAAACCTAACAAAGATTCTGTCATGAAAATACCGTAGGCCACCTTTTGACGTTTGGGTTTTGCACATCTACTTTCACATTGATAAACCAAATTTGTGTATGTTCAGACAGATACAGCCCTGATTATTTTCATTTTAACTTTTCTCGGTCAGCGCCTATGATTGCATACAGAGACATCCATAAACTATTTAGGGGAATCTGATCAAAGCTCTTAGGAAAATTTCGTGGTGCATAACGATAGTATCATTGTCTCTCTCGGTTTACATCCGTAGTTGGTCCTTAAATTACAGGCGGATACCTCCAGAGAGCTCCCTGCAATTATTCAAATGACTTCTGACACTGAGTTTTTATATGCTTGTACATTACTGTGTAATTTTCCAAAGTCTAGATTTATTTTTAAGAGAGTATAAAGAATCATTTGCTTTAATCTCTGATCCTGTGTGTGGGTGAGGATGGAGTGGCTGTGATTCAAAGAAACACAAAAAAACTGTCACATTGTGCAGAAAATTTAAAAAGAGCATTATTACAATATTTAGAAATCATGATCGATTAACATTATTGCATAAAGAGTGCTTTCTAACTAGGCAATTTAAGAGAATAGGTCTTTCTTTTCAAAAAGTATAATAGATAAAAATGGGATAATCAGTGATGTACAAAGTTCTTTGAACATTAGCTTTCCTAAGAAATCATTGTTACTAGTTGTAATTGGGAATGCCCATTGTATCCATATCAATATGAATGTCAGATAAACATCCTCTCCTTGCCTAGTGGTCAGCATTCTTTCTCTCCTATTAGTCATGAAGTACTTGGCATAATTAATCTATGATTGACATAGATTTACATTTCCAAGAATTTGTGGTTCTTCTCCACTGAGAGAAATGTTGATTTCTTCTATCCTTTTTGAAAAGATTAGAAAGTGCTAATATGAAGATAATCACTTCTTATTGTAGGTAAATGAAAACGTCTCTTGATGTCTTTATTAGTAATTTCCACAAGAAAGCTATTTTTCTCAGATAGTGAAATTGCATTTAGTGTTTTTTAGAAATGGTACCTTAGCTTTATTTCATTTTATTTTATCTTACTATATTTTTAAAAAATAGATATGGAGTTGCTTTATTGCCCAGGTTGGTCTTGAATTCCTGGCCTCAAGTGATCCTCCTGTCTCGTCCTCCCAAAGCGCTTTGATTACAGACATGAGTCACTGTGCCTGGCCATTAGTTCGCTAGCTTTAAATAACAAAGATTAAGAGTAGCTTTTGCCACATAGTATAATTCAAATGTGTCCCCCAAATTTCATATGTGGGAAACTTAATCCCCAGTGTGACAGTATTGAATCTCCAATGTGGGGCCTTTAAGAGGAGACTGGATCACGAGTACTCTGTTCTTACGAATTGATTAATCCACTCATAGATTGATATATTATTGGGTTAATGGATGAATGAGTTATAGGAGTGTGGAACTGGTGGCTTATAAGGAAAGGAAGAGAGATCTGAGTAAGCATGTTAGCATGCTCAGCCCTCTTGTCATGTGACATCCTATGCTGCCTCCATACTCCGTACAGATCATCTACCAGCAAGAAGGCTCTCACCAGATCTGGTCTCTCAACCTTGGACTTCTCTGTCTCCATAACTGTAAGAAATAAATTCCTTTTCTTTATAAATTACCTAGTTTCTGATATTCTGTTATAAGCAACTGAAAGTGGACTAAAACATCGCATGAGAAGTTTCATATCATTTACAACTGCAGTATTAACCAGGCATTAGCAACTTTTTAAAAATGAAACAATATTTTATTTTTAAAATGACCTAAGGAAACTTTAAACTTTTTTTGATGTCAGATATAAAAATGGAAATTTGGAAGGATAATTTTTTGAGTAGGAGGTGGTGCTCCATTTTTTTGTCTTTAAATATTTTAGATGAGTATTGAGAATTGTAATAAATTGTGCATGTTCTTTTTTCAGAAATTGTAATAGCATATTCTGACTTTATGTCCTAGTTTAGGAGGGTGCATTGTTTATCAAAATAAGAAATGCTAGCATATCACAATGTAAGCATGTTTTTTGTTCTTTCTTTTTTTTAATTTTTTTATTTTTGTGAGCATGTTTTTTAAACATGCTTGAAACTCTTGATTTAAAGATCTTAGGAAAATGGGAAGGGAAAAAAAACTAACGATTTTTGTTGTTTGTTCATGTTTTTTTCAGTTACAGTCGACTTATCTGTCTTTGGTGTTAATCTGTAAACATTTAGCAGCTTCTGCCGTTTTCATGGAATCAATTGTGTATTGCTGTGGAAAGAGGTTCATTGTCAGCAGTGCTTTTCAAAGTAGATTTGCTGCTGTACTGTCTACAGAATTTCAGGATTGCTCTATGTATTGTTTGAAATCTTGAAACAATTTCCGTATTTTCTTGCCCTTTTTTGCATTTTAATAAGGGTCAGATTGAATTAGTTCTATTGTTTTAATTATGTGGACATTAAGATATATTTGAGACCACTTATGGTTTGATATGACAAACGTGGTTTCAGAGGTTAATACCTTAAATCATATTGCCGTAATAAAATATTTTTATATAATGAAGGCACAGATACCTCCAATTTTGGTAATTTATAATATAGTTAACATTAAACACTATGTTCATTATTAAAATATTAAATTTCGCTGCAAAAAAGTCATAGGTTACTTTTTTATTTGAATGTTTTATTAGGGTTATTCTTTTTTATTTTTAATTGACATAATAATTTACCTATTTGGGGGCACAGTGTGGTATTTGGGTACACATAATGAATAATGATCAAATTAGGGTAATTAGCATATCCATCACCTCAAGCATTATTTATTCATGTTAGAAACAAATTCAAGACCTGCTCTTTGAGCTGTTTGGAAATATACATTAAGCTACTATTAACTGTAATCATTTACGGTGCTGTAGAATACTAGAACGTTTTCCTCCTGTTTAGCTGTAATTTTGTTAACCCTGGGGTCCGCAACCCTGGGCTGTGGACTATCACTGGTCCGTAGACTTAGGAACTGGTCGTACAGCAGGAGATGAGCAATGGGCGAGTGAGCATTGCAGCCTGAGCTCTGCCTCCTGTCAAATTAATGATGCCACTAGATTCTCATAGGCGCACAAACTCTGTTGTGAACTGCGTATGCAAGGTATCTAGGTTGCCTGCTTCTTATGAGAATCTAATGCCTGTTGATGAAACCATCCCCACGCCATCTTGTGGAAAAATTGTTTTCCACAAAACCAGTCCCTGATGCCAAAAAGGTTGGTGACCACTGTGTTAACCAAGAACTTCCTACCCGCCTCACCCTTCCCAGCTTAAAGTAACCACAGTTCTCTGCTTCTACGAGAGCAACTTTTTTTTTTTGAGTCAGGTCTTCACTCTGTTACTGGGGCTGGAGTGTAGTGGTGCGATCATAGCTCATTGTGGCTGCCAACTCCCGCCTCAATTGATCCTGCTGCCTCAGCCTCCCAAGTAGCTGGAACTATAGGCATGAGCTACCATACTTGGCTAATCCTTCCTTCCTTTCCTTCCCTTTCCCCTTCCCTTTCCCTTTCCCTCCCCTCCGCTCCCCTCCCCTCCTTCTTCTTTCTTTTCTTTTCTCTCTTTCTTTCTTTCTCTCTCTTTCTCTTTCTTTCTTTCTTTCTTTTCTCCTTTCCTTTCCTTTCCTTTCCTTTCCTTTCCTTTCCTTTCCTTTCCTTTCTTTCCTTTCCTTTCTTTCTTTCTTTCTTTCTTTCTTTCTTTCCTCTCTCTTTCCTCTCTTTCTTTCCTCTCTCTTTTCTTTTTCCTCCCTTCCCCTCCCTCCCTCCCTCCCTTCCTTCCTTCCTTTTTCTTTTCTTTTTTTTTTCTCTTTTCTTTCCATTCCTTTTCTTGCTTTTCTTTTCTTTCTTTCAAGATGGGGTTTTACTATGTTGCCTAGGCTGGTCTTGAACTCCTGGGCTCAAGAGATCCTTCTGCCTCACTCTCCCAAAGTACTGGTGTTACAGGTGTGGGCCACCATGGCTGGCAGATCAATTTTGTTAGCGTCTACATTTGAGTAAGAACATGCATTATTTATCTTTCTGTGCCTTG